CCAGCCCATCCCCACGCCAGGAACGATCCTGAAGGTGTTTTTGGTGCTGGACAGATGGACTTGTGTTCTCTCCACAATAACTGGTGGTAGAAAAGAAGTAAAGGGGAATGATGGCCATCCCTGGCACAAGTTGTACGTTTTTGGGGTAGGACAGGGCTTGGAAGTTCTCTGTTCTGTTTTGGAGATACTGGATGATAAATCTGACTGGATGAAAAGAATCAGCTGGGTTTCCACTGGAGCTGAGCTTGTTCCCAAGCTCCAGCTTCTGGTTTCTGCTGGGTGACCAACCTGGAAGAGGCACAGCAGGAAAGCAGCCCCAGGGCCTCTCCAGACCCTCCTGCCACTTGTGCAAAACCCTTGGGCTCCTTTGTGGGTGTGCTGTGAGTGCAGCATGGAGCTCCAGGAGAGACTGGTGTGTGGAGCACGAGAGGCAGCATTTGTCTGTGCTGCCAAAGGAGGAACAAGTCTATCCATGTCCCCAAAATAGCAGGGAGATCCTGCCAGTCAGCTGTGTGATTGTTGTGATAGAGAGGATTGAGGTATTTTGGGTGTGGAAATAAAGGGGAAGGAAAGGACAAGCTTGTGATTTTTAAATGTTGGTAGTTCTTGAATAAGTGGAAAAGCAACTGCACAGAGAAAGAGCTTGTAATAGAAAGTGAAGATTTCAATTAGAAGGAAGGAAGAGGCTTTTTCCCTTTCAGAAAGGACTGGAGAATAAATTTAGCCATTGTTCTCTGGTCTTGCATGTGAGCGTCTTATGGAAACAACTGGCCTTACAGAATTCATAAGCTCCACCACATGCTCGTCTCAGACCATAATTTCCTTGAGTGCTGTCTGGTGATCTGATCCTGCCAAGATCATTCCATGCTCCCCCACACTTCCCACGTGGAGGGGCTGGGGATGGGCAGGGGAGGCTGCAGTCCCCTGTAAAGGTAAATTCCATTTACTTTCTGGTCAGTCTTCCTGCTCTTCCAGATCGGTGGGATGGGCTGGAGCAGAGCCTCAAGTCTCTCTCTGCTCCTCTGGGATTTTGTTACCTTGATCTGAAGCATTTCTCGTTGTTTCATCTCTGTGTTTGTTTAACAAACGAGCTCTATCAGATAGAGGGGTGCTGGTTCCTGCCGCCAGATAAAAGAATCCCGGCTGTTTCCAGCACAAACCCCCCGGCTCCTTGTGCTGCTCATGCCAGGACCTGCAGCCCTTTCCCTGCGAGGGATGCAGTCCCCTGCCCGCTCCCGGGGGAGCAGACTGTGTGGATTTGTTGTGGTGTGAGCAGGAGGTGTGGGAGCCCTGTTTGTCAGCAGCACTGACAGCCCCGCGCTGGCACCGGCCCGGCTCGGGCAGCCACTCGCAGCTGGAACCGCTCTGTTCCAGGGTCCCCGTGGGCTTCCGCTATCAGGTCACATCCCAAAATAACACTGGGCACTATTTCAAGTGAAGAAACTCAGGCTTTGGGGCTGCAGCCAGCCTGGAGTGTGAGATTCTGTGTGAAATAGTTGGAATCCCTCCAGCGTTTTTGATCTGCATGGCAGATGAGCAATAAAATGCATAAAAAACACATTGGAAACACGTGAGGAAATTCTCCAGACCCTGACGTTTCCTTGAGTTGGCAGAGCCGCTGCTGCCGAGCCTCACCTCCTGTCTGGGCTCCCTGGCTGTGCTGGCAGAGGGAAGGGGGAGAGTCCTTCTCCTGCTGCTGCCGTGGCTTCCCAGGGCTCCCCCGATGCTCCGTGGGAGGCAAATAAAACCTCCCAGGCCCTCTGCTCTTGGGCTCCCTCCAGAACCCCCCGACGGCAGCAGCTCTCCATTATTTCCATCAGGTTTTATTGTTTTTAAAGGCTTCTCTGCTGGGGCTGCCCTGAGAACGGGCTGTAGGGAGATGCAGGGATTTCCTTCTCGCCTGGTTTGGGGTATCGGAGCTGGAGGTGTCATTTAGGTTTAATTAACCCCTGGTGCCCCTGGTGCTTGGAGGATTTGAAGGGAGGAAAGCACCTCCTCACCGAGGAGCTGCTGGGGCTCACACATTCCAGTCCATGTTTTCTCCTTCCCCTCACAGGAGTTTCCCTTCTGAGCAGCTCAGCCCTGCTGAATAACACGCTCAGAAAATGCTGCTGTGCTGGCAGAACCCTTCTTTGCTGGGAAATGACTTTATTGTTGGAATTCATGAAACTTACATCTCTTTGGAGGTGGAAGTCGCTTCAGGAGTTGCTTGGTTTTGACGCTCCTGTTTCAACTCATGTCCCAACAGCTGGGAAAGGATGTGAAATTCACTTTAAAGTCATTTAAACTGTTAATGATCTGGGGGCTGATGCAAAGCCGAAGCTCTGCTGTTCCTCTGGGGGTCTCTCATGGGTATGAGAGGGGCTCCCAGGGGTGCAGCCACCCAGGGCCCAGCTGCTTCCTTAAAACAGGATGTTTTTAATGATTTGACAAATGGAGCATTGATACATGGGCAAGGTGGAAGACATGAGCTCTGGAGATTGTTTCCTACTTCTTAAGAGTTAATTTTCAAACCATTTTTAACGTTCCTTCATTTTATGTCTTGTGTGTGGCATTCCCAAGCCTCACCCTGTTGGGCTGCCCAGTTCATGTAGAATATTGCCCAGGCCATGGAGCAGTGACCTCCTGAGCTCCCTCCACCCAAAACCTTCTCCTTGCCTCTTGGAGAAGCACTTAGCCCAGCTAAAGAAAGGAAATTCACATTTCACCTTGCATGCTTGCTCTGTAGCTGTTCTTTCATGCCAGCATTTCTCTCAGGTGCACATTTTTTAATGTGGTTTTTTTCCCCTTGAACCTAAAAGCCCCTCATCTCTGCAGCCCAGGCACTAAAATCCCCTCCACCAGGAGCTTCCGTGGTGCAGAATTTCAGAGCTGGAAATGGGTTCGGCCTCCCAGCTTCATCTCAGTGATGAGGAAAAGCGTTGGATGCACTTGGTGGTTCCAACCTTCACGTACTGAAGGGACATGGCAGTATTTCCATGCAGTTGGAGGCTGGTCTGAGCTGATTTCTGGACATCCTGATCCCTTTGTGGGCTCTGGGGGGGAATCTCTTTGTGCCTCGTATCAGTGGCTGCAGTTGGGTGCAGTGAATCTCAGCGAGAGGAGTGTTTTGCTCTTGATTGTTTGTGTTGGTTGATGCTTTTTAATGCAAGATGTTGGAAATAATGTCTCTTTACTCCCACTTCAGATGGTTTCCTCAGTAGGAATGTGGGATTTGTCAAAGTTGTCCAGGGAAAAACACCCAAATAGCTGCATAAAGGAGCAATGCTTTTTGATGTTACAATAGGAAAGTAGTGAAAATTGCAAGAGATCTCAGAAACTATTTTTAGGCTTTTTCTGCAGTTTTTTAGCTTTCATTGAAATAAAACAAAGCATTTTTTTTTCCCCCCTCAGGAAGATGATACTTGAGCAGTAAGCAAATATACCTCAGAGACTGTGGTGCAGGAAATGAGCTCTCCAACAGGAGCAGTAATGGAAGGGGAGGCAGGACACGCTCTGCACTAAATCATCCCACCAAGTGCCCAGGCTCTGCAGCTCCAATGGAACACTTGCCAGCATTTGTTAGAAGCATTTTGTTCAAATCCCATTAAAACAGGGGAAACTGCTGTGCTGCAGCAGCTGAAGGTGGTGCTGAGGCCCAGCTCTGCCCTCTGTCCCACGGGGGTGATGCTTGGGTGTCACCCAAGTTGGCTTTTATTCCTCAATAATTCCACTTTTTCCATGATTTCCACGTCCTGGATGTGCTGTGTGAGCCTCTCCACGTCCCTGCTGTTGGGGACTCCCCAAAAGTGTCTGGAGTTCCAGGTCCATCTGCACTGCCAGCACTGGGAAAACATTCCCTGAAGTGCTGCTGAACCAGGAATTGTGCTGTCAGTGTAAATGAAACCAGGGTGTCCAGGTGATTTATCAGCTGCCTCAGCCCTTCTCTGTGGGGTTTAAATGAGGTTGGCTCTGCTTGTGCTGAATTCTGTGCAGGGAGAATGACCTGGGATTCCCTCAGGGCTCACTCAGAACCCTTCTGATCCAGAGCTGATTGCTCTGGAAGACTTAGGAAGGGTAAGTGAAGTCCTGGTAAGCTTTGGCCTCCCCTTCTTCACCTGCCGTGATCCTTTGAACCTCTGGCAGAGATTTTATCTAATCCCTGGAATAGTTACAACTTCCCAGCTTTCTGTTCAAATACTCTGCCACTTCCTGTGGCTGGGGCTGCTCCTGACTCATTCAGTGCAGGCCAGGGCTGAGCAGCTGATGCACCTTGTTATCAGCCAGCCAGCACAACGGGGCACGTTGGACATCAGCTCCTTGGAATTATCCCCATTTTCACACTTGCCAGCTGGTTTTTGATGCCGTCGCTTTGCTGCTGTGGCAATTGGAGGTTTCAGCTCTCTCAGGCTTTTTGTGCTTTTTCTTCTCCAAGGTGAATAGATGAAGAAGGAAGGGTGTTCTCTAGCTTTGCCTTGGAGAAAAGCTAAACTTTACAGGTTGACGCAGTAACTGCTAATTTTTGCTGTCTTTGAAGAAAGGGAAGTGGGAACCCTGAAGAGTATTTTATGGTTTTCTTTTAAATCTCTGTTTAGTTTGTTTTTATCCATCTCAAGTGAGTAGTTTCCCAGCTCATAGGAGGTTTATGAATTAATTATGGTGAGGCAGGAGTTTTCTGTCTTTCAGAGGCTGAGCCACGTTTCCCTTCCAAGCCACGATCACATGGACTGTCTCTTGTGTTTGCAGTTTTACGTGTGCTGTTGATGCATTCTTTAACTTCCCACCTCTAAAATGAATCAAAAGGATCAAGTAGGAAAATTAGCCAGTTGTTTGGGCCAGCAGTAAGCCAGCTCAGGAGCTGCTGGGTTCAGACTGGCAGCAGGATAGGACAGGTCTGCAGCTGCAGCATTGGTAGCAGCAGTAAGCAGGGATCACTGAGTGCTGTGTGCCCAGGGACAGGAGCCGTGTGTGAGAGCAGCCCCGTGGCTCTGTGGTTTCTGATGTCTTTGTGTGCCCTGCAGGACCTGTCTGGTTCCATAGATGACCTGCCCATGGGGACCGAAGGAGCCCTGAGCCCTGGAGTAAGCACATCAGGGATTTCCAGCAGCCAAGGAGAGCAGAGTAACCCAGCTCAGTCTCCTTTCTCGCCACATACCTCTCCTCACCTGCCAGGCATCAGAGGACCCTCCCCGTCCCCAGTTGGATCTCCAGCCAGCGTTGCTCAGTCCCGCTCCGGCCCCCTCTCCCCTGCTGCAGTCCCAGGTAACCTCGCAGCTCCCGGGCTCTGAGCCGTGCTGCCCAGCGGGGAGGAGCTGCCCAGAGCCAGCACTGGGTGACTCCTGAGCTCCTCTGAGCTCCTTTGTTGGTGTGAGAAGGCTGCAGCTCTCGGGGGCTGCGTGGGGTGCTGCGAGCCAGCGGTGCCATTGCAGCGGCGCTTGCCGTTCTTCCTCCTCACCACGGCTCACATCCCCTTGTCCTGGGGCTCTCTGGGGTTCTGGGATGGCTCTGCTGCCTGCTGGGTGTGTGGAGAGCAGCTGCTGATGATCTGTGTCCTTTCTGTGGCCCAGGCAATCAGATGCCTCCCCGCCCGCCCAGTGGCCAGTCGGACACGATCCTGCACCCCTCCATGAACCAGTCGAGCATCGCGCAGGACCGAGGTGGGTGCACGTGTTCATTTCACTTACCTGGCCTGGGGACAGAGCACTGAAAACTGCACCAGGGTTACAGGCTGAAGTGCTGAGGCACCTTGCAGTAAATTCAGCTGCTGGTGGCTGTTTGACCTCCAAGTGTCCATCCAAACAGGTGCTTTGGCTTCTAAGATATTTTGTCTGGCTTCTCAACTTGCTTTCTTCAAGCTTCAAAACAAGGGGTGCTCACAGCAATGCTGTGTGCCTTTCCCCTGTGAGAGAGTAAGATTTTGGGGGGAAAAACACATGTAAAATTTCAGCTCTCCTGGCTGAAGGTATGGAGTTGTCACCCTGAGAAAACAAACAAGTGAACAAAAACCAAGAACAAGAAGCCCCAAGGATTTGCAGAGCTATGCTGGCTTCTGCTGTGACACTAAGGGGTTTTTTTTTCTGGCTAAAACAGGAAATTGGATCTGTTATCTGCTCAGATAACACTGGCTCCTTAATGCAGCCACTAAAATGTGTCGAGGCTGTTGCTGGAAGGATTTTGTCAGTGCTGGGGGCTGGAAACACGTGTGTGCAGTGGCAGCTCCAGAGGCTTTGCAGTAACCATTTTCTCCCTCCTGGTGTGCAGGGTACCTGCAGAGGAACCCGCAGATGCCCCAGTACAGCTCCCCCCAGCCCGGCTCAGCCTTATCCCCCCGGCAGTCCTCGGGAGCACAGATGCACGCCGGCATGGGGCCCTACCAGCAGAACTCCATGGGGAGCTACGGACCCCAGGGCGGGCAGTACGGACCTCAAGGTGGGAACTGAGCCACAAAAGGCCTCTCTCTGTCCTGGTGTCGTGCTGGGGACACAGGTTGCCCAGAGAAGCTGTGGCTGCCCCATCCCTGGGTGTTCAAGGCTTGTTGGAGCAAGCTGGGACAGTGGAAGGTGACCCTGCCCATGGGATGGTCTTGAGGGTCCCTTCCAAACCAATCCATGATTCCATGATAAATGTTTTGAGTTGTCCCCTCTTAATCTGTGGGTGATACCAGCCAGAGCTTTGCCTCTGTTGAGATTGATGGAATGTGTTGCTTTCAGGGATAGCTGTAATTCTAAAAGCAGGAATCTTCCTCCTCATTTAGGAATTAGTGGGTTGTGTTTTGGGAAGGGTTAACGTGGGATTTTCCATCCTGTCCTGGACCATTTAGCTCTCTGTGCTGGGCTGAGGTTTGGGAGAGTTTCAGGCAGCTCCTGAATCGATGTTGTTACTTGGCTGTGTCAAAACACATTTTACGTGGCTTATATCCAAGTGCTTTGACTTTGTGTTGAGGTGCGAACACTCCCCCTCATCTCCGTTAGCGATCTTTAAATATTTGCTGATAGCAGATTTTTTGATGGTGATTCATAAAACCTCCCTGTTTGAGTGATGCCCCGTGTGTGTTCCCCTCCCCAGGAGGTTACCCCAGGCAGCCCAACTACAACGCCATGTCCAACGCCAGCTACCCCAGCCCGGGCATGGGGGGCAGCATCAACCCGCTGGGCGCGGGCGGGCAGCTGCATGGGCAGAGCGGGGTGCCCCCGTACAGCGGGCTGCCCCCGGGCAGGATGGGCCACGCAGCCATGGGCAGCCGGCCCTACGGCCCCAACATGGGCAGCATGCCCCCCCAGGTGGGCAGCGGCATGTGCCCCCCGCCCGCCGGCATGAACCGCAAGGCGCAGGAGGCCGCCGCCGCCGCCATGCACGCCGCCGCCAACTCCATCCAGAACAGGTAGGGAGGCTGGGGGCAACGCTCAGAGAACCTTCTGGGGTGGGGTTTTCTCCTTCCTGGAGGGATTTTGTCCTTCCTGAAGCGATCTTCATCCTTCCTGGAGGGATTTTGTCCTTCCTGGAGGGTTTTTGTCCTTCCTAGAGGGTCTTCGTCCTTCCCGGAGGGATTTTCTCTTCCCTGGAGGGTGTTTTTTCCTTCCTGGAGGGTTTTTTTCCTTCCTGGAGGGATTTTGTGCTTCCTGGAGGGTGTTTTTTTCCTTCCTGGAGGGTTTTTTTTCCTTCCTGGAGGGTTTTTTTTCCTTCCTGGAGGGTTTTTTTCCTTCCTGAAGGGTTTTTTTTCCTTCCTGGAGGGTTGATTCTCCAGTGTTACAAAGGAAGAGAGGAAAGCCTGTGTGTTGGGATGCCCAGAGCAGCTGTGGCTGCCCCATCCCCAGCAGTGCCCGAGGCCAGGCTGGAAGGGGCTGGGAGCAGCCTGGGATGGTGGGAGGTGGCCCTGCCATGGCAGGGGTAGAACAGGATCTTTCTTTCTTTAGGATCTGTCCAACCCAAACCATTCCAGCGCTCTGTACATAATTTATGACACGCTTAGGGAATTTTTTCATGTTTATAGGTGAAATTACTTAATTCTGAGATCCCTTCAGTTGTTTTTGCATTTTGCTCTCTGGTCTTCCGTTCCCTGGGTGCCTTGGAGACGCTGCAGCCCCTAAACCCAGCAGCCACCCAGCTGTGTGTGATCCAAGGCATTGCTTGTCCAGTGTGAGGAGCTTCTTCCTTTTAGGGCCTTGATGAGCAGCTGTGGGAAAGGAGCTGGAATTCAGCTCTGAACTTTGAACTGTTTTCTGTGGTGGTTTTTTCCCTTATTGCCCATTTCAGGGTAGGTGTGTGTGGCCTACCAGAATACCATGGGAGCCATGAACATGCTCTTAAATTGGGTTCCCCCAGAACTGCTGGATATATTTGTTTGACTGGACACTGCTCTTTATCTTCACCTGAGGGCTGCTCCTGCAACCTCCTGCTTTTACCTGTGGCTGCCAACTTCCCAATCCCCAATAAAGGCACCCATGGCTGTCCCTTGAAGGAAGAAGCTGGAGCCAGAGTTGTGTGGGAAGGTTGCAGTACCTGGGAAACACTGCTTCCAACCCAGGACATTCCATGATTGTAAATCCTGTATTCTCACTCCACTGCCCAGGGCTGCAGGCTAAAGGCAATTTAACAACTGAAATGAGGCTCAGTTTGTGGATGTAGAACAAGATGAAGGGTGAAAATGTCCAGAGATCAAGTCCCACTTGCCAAAGGGTTTGCATCCTCTTTTCTCCTGAGCGTGACTTGGGCTCTGGGTACTGAGCTTTACAAGAGCACCTGATCTTTGTTCTTCCCTTGGAAAAATGGTTTGGGGCAAGTGACTTCTCCATGTCCTTTTTAGGTTTCTTTTAGCAAAGCTGCTTCCTCAGAAGGCAATATCCTAGTGCTTAATATGTGGAGTAAGTGTCTGTTTCTTCCTCCAGGCCTCCTGGTTATCCCAACATGAATCAGGGGGGAATGATGGGCACTGGACCTCCTTACGGGCAGGGGATTAACAGCATGGCTGGCATGATAAACCCCCAGGGCCCACCCTACCCCATGGGGGGAAACATGGCCAACAACTCTGCAGGTAAGCCAGAGCTTCAGGATTACACTCATTTCATTGCACTGGGAGGAAAATCAGTGTTTTTAAAGATTCCTTTCATTTCCCAGGGATGGCAGCAAGCCCTGAAATGATGGGACTCGGGGATGTCAAATTAACACCTGCAACTAAAATGAACAACAAGGCAGATGGGACGCCCAAAGCAGAATCCAAGTCAAAGGTAAAATGTTCTGGGTTTTGTTTTTATTGACTCCCATCCTCTTCAGCATCCAGGGAAATAAAGCCATGTGCTGTGTGTTGGCTTGGATTGAACAGTGTGAGAAATGGAGGGGAGCGTTTCCCAGTCCTATGGGAGTCGTGGATTTCACCTGGAAAACAAATTCAGTATTAGGAATTATTACCTGCCACAGTGAAACTGCCAAAAGCAGCGTAAACAAACCTGAGTTTGTTGGTGGAGTGGGCCTGGAGCGAGTTAGCTCTCAGCTGGGACGTGGTAACTAAAGTGTTGCAGTTGTTTCACAAACAAACCTCTCACTAATCCTGTATTAAAGCCAGAAGAGGGAGGCAAACAAGTTCTTCAGGGAGTGTTTTTCTTTGCATTGCTGCTACCAGTTTCAAAAGAACCACCAAAAAAAGCAGTTTCTGAGCCCCTGGTCTCCTCCTTTGCTACCTGAAGGAAAACAGATGCTCAGCAGGTTTGATCCCTGTGCCAGCAGCAAGCAGATCCAGGAGCTCTCTCACTTCTGCTCCTGTCTCTGGCATCTGCCTCTCTTTTTATGGCAAAAGAGGACTTGAGGGCTCTTGGCCACAAATCAGGGCTGCTCTGTCCTGCTCTGTGCTGTGGGAGGATCATCCCACGAGCCATGAACACGCTCAGTTTTGGGTCTGGGGTTCACCTGGAACATCAGCAGGTTTGAGGAACGTGTCTAGTTCGGGAGCTCGTATTTAAATAAGGATTTGGAGTGCCAGAGCCATCTCTGCCTCTGCTCCAGGTGGTGAAAGACACAAGAGACAGGGGCAGCATGAGGGGCCTGGGGAGGAGCAGGGCTGGGATGCCACCTGGGACACGGAGGAGCTGCTGTTGTGCTGCTCAGTCCTGATCTCTCTTTCCTTCTCCCAGAAGTCCAGTTCCTCTACCACAACCAACGAGAAGATCACCAAACTGTATGAGCTGGGCGGGGAGCCCGAGAGGAAGCTGTGGGTGGATCGTTACCTGGCCTTCACCGAGGAGAAGGCCATGGGCATGACCAACCTGCCAGCCGTGGGCAGGAAGCCCCTGGACCTGTACAGGCTCTACATCTCCGTCAAGGAGATCGGGGGATTGACTCAGGTCAGTGACCCCAGCCAGGGGACACAGCTGCCCACAGCACAAAAATCAGCTCTCTGGCCAGATGTGAGCCATGAATTTCCATTCAGCCACATTTTATCTCTGATTTGTTTCTGTAAATAGAACCCAGGGCCCTCTAAGTGAGCCAGATGTCTGCTCTCCCTTTGTCTGGGTGAGAACAGTCTGTGGCCAGATCCAATCCAAGCCCTTGTTCCCTGCTTTGTCCAGTGCAAAGATTGGTGACACTGTCTTTGTCTTTGCACCTGGCTGTCAGCTGACCTCGTGACTAATTTGATTTGCAGTCTGTCCCTATAAATCTGAAAAGTTTTCTGTAGGTGAAGAAGGGAGTTCAGTGGTTTTGGGGCTGCTCTGCTCAGCCCTCACTGCACCCTTTGTGCGAGCTGGGACGGGCTGAGCTCCTCTCGGAGGAGGTACAGCTGGGATTTGGAGTTCAGAGACTCCTGTTTGGTTGTGCAGGTCAACAAAAACAAGAAGTGGCGTGAGCTGGCCACCAACCTGAACGTGGGCACGTCGAGCAGCGCGGCCAGCTCGCTGAAGAAGCAGTACATCCAGTGTCTGTACGCCTTCGAGTGCAAGATCGAGAGGGGCGAGGACCCCCCTCCAGACATCTTTGCAGCTGCTGATTCAAAGAAGTCCCAGACCAAGATCCAACCTCCATCTCCAGGTGAGGCCAGAGCCTGCTTTGGGGTGTGCAGTGGATGTGTGAGCAGGAGGGTCTCTGGTGCTGTGTGTGGGCCAGGCTGGTCCAAGCTGCCACAAAAGCCCCTCCTGTCCTGTGGCTGTGTGGAATGAAAACGCTCTGGTGATGTGGGAAAGGACAAAACTGGGAGTGAGTTGAGCTTCTTGGGATAGTTCAGCTCTGGACTGAGCTTGAGAAAAAGGAAAACCTAAAAACGTGCACAGACACCCACACCCACACGCCCACACCCACACACACCCTCTGTGCTTGCTGCTGCATCTCTGCCTGCTGAGAATGTGTGGGGAGAGCTCTGGAGCTTCCCTGCAAGGTGATTCCAGCAGCAGCCCTTGTTACTGCTCCTCTTTGGGAGCCCTCTGCCAAAGCTGTGCTGGTTTGGACTGTGCCAGTGGCAAGGCTGGATGTGGCTGTGCACTCACCTTCCTCAGGAATTCCTGCTCCCCCAGCAGGGGCCAGGGAGGATTTGAGGCCCTGTGACAGAGCACTGGAGGCTTACAACAGGCTGGGTGCTTCAGGAACCGAGCCCTTTAAAATGAACCCTTGCTGTTGTTTCAGATTTGATGGGATGCTCCTGTTTCTGAATATTTCAGCATAATTCTCAATTCAGATTTGTTAAACAAAAAAAGAAAAGACATCCAGGCCAGCCATGCACGTTGTACTTTTTAGTCTTTGGAAAGTCTGATCCTTTCTGTCTCATTTGCATTGACTTCATTGCTTGAATTGCTGCTGAATTTGCCAACTCTTCTTTAAGCTTGAGTTTTCCAGTTTGTCTTATAACTAAAAAACTTCAGATGCTTTTTCTGGTCAGGAGCCTGCTCATGTAGGTGAAATAAAAACTTGGTCTGCTTTGAAGTTCCTATAATGTTTGCAAGAAAAAAAAAAAAGCCTTTTTTGGTTCTGAAACCTGGCACCATCTTTGTCTGGCTCCCGAGGAGTGGAATAATGAACTTCTGTTGACTACAGTGCAGTTGTGTCCCAGCCCTGCTGAGCCCTTCAGTGACACTGGGCTTCTCCCAGTGCTCTGCTGGGCACCACATTTCTCTCTCCTTTCAGCTGCAGGGGGGGTTTTGTAAAGAACTAAATCATGTCCCGTCACTGGTCAGGAAACCTGCCCCAGCAGAGCTTCAGCCTTGCTGTGTTCTGCAAGATAAAGTGACTTTTGTGCCATGAGACCAAACCCCTGTCCAAAGTGGGGTCTGAGTTCTGCTCGAACTAAACCACAAATCTAACCCCACTTTCTTCCCAAAGCCTCTTTCTTGCCCCCCTGAGGCAGTGGAACAAAGATGTTGAGAGCATTTGGAGTTTATTTGGAGAGAGCTTGAGAGAGTTTTAGGAAGCCACTGGAGGCTTGCTGTAGCTCTAGGTGTGTGTCAGAGCGGGTTAGGTGCCGCATCAGTTTTTGTTTTGTTTTAGCTCACGTGGTGTTTGTGCAGGGCCTGGCTCTGCTTTCTGGGCTGAGCTCCTGCTTCAGGAAGTTCAAAGGAATTTGCAGGGCTCTTTCCCCAAACTGTGCAGGTTTGGGTCCTGCTGTGACAGGGCTCTCTCCCCGCTCCAGGCTCCCAGGGCTGGGAATGTGCAGAGGCAGCACTGAAGCCTGGCTGGTGGCTCTGGTGCTTTATGCTGAATCACTCAGCGTGTCCCTGCTCCTCTTTCACTTTCCTTTTCTTCCTCTGCGGCCCTGGGCGTGTAGGGCAGGACAGAAGTTGCTCTGTCAGCCCAGCTCCAGGCTGCAGAGCCCTGGGGAGTGTGGAGTCCTGCTGGATGCTGCTCTTCCCGGCCCCACACATCCTGACCCCAGGGAATCACCTGGACAGGAATAAATTCCCTGTTTGGGAGCCTGTGGACAACAGAGGGACATTTTGGAGCCGTTTCCTCATTTGGCTGAAGGGCTGTGCTGTCCCACAGACGTGGTTTGCTCTCCCTGCACACCTCACAACCTGTTGGCATTTCACTCTTCATTTCAGCCTGTTCTGAATTAACCCCTGCAGAGCCCTGGGAGCGGGGAGGATTGCACCGTGCCACCCCATCCTCCCCTTCCCGAGGCTGCAGAGCTGCAGCTCCTGTTGCCACAGCTTCCCAGGCCTGCCCTTCACATCCCTCAGCACCCAGAGGTGTTCCCAGAGATCAGGGCTGGAGGAACTGGGAATTCCCTGCTGGACACCGGGAGTTTCCCTCTGGCAGAGTCCCCGGGGGGGGGAACCTTGGCTTTGAGTTCCCAGAGCGTGGAGCTGGCCCTGCTCCAGATCCGTGTGGGTTTGTGCGTGGGAGGGATGGCAGGAGGGGGGGACAAATGGCAGCAAGGCAGGGAATGTCTCAGGGAATGTCTCAGGGAATGTCTCAGGGAATGTCACAGGGAATGTCACAGGGAATGTCACAGGGAATGTCTCAGGGAATGTCCTGGGGCCTCTTCCTGCCGTGCCAGCAGTGCCAGAGCAGAATTCCTGGGGGAAGCAGCGGGGCTGGGCTGGCAGGGCCGGGCTGTGAATGAAACTGCCAGGAGCTCCCAGAGCTGCCCAGGCCAGGAGGGAGAGCAGAGCAGAGCACAGGGTGCCAGGAAGGTGGGGTGTAAACAAACATGGCCTGGCCGTGACCTCGGAGGATTTTAATGAATAGCTGAAATGACTCATCAAGCAGCAGGACTGGAGCTGAGGGATATCGGGTGCTGGGGACGGAACTAATGGAAACATTAATTAAGAGTTCAGCTCCTGCCAGCTGCGAGGAGCGGCTGAACCTGAGCTGAGGCTGTCACAGTGATCCCAGGCCGGGGGAGAGCTGCTGCAGCTCCAGCACAGCTGGATCACACACGGGGTTTGCTCAAAGCTCAGTGGAGCAGAAAGCTCCGAGGCTGGGACTTGCAGGGAACCTGCTGGACGGGTTTTGTCTTCCAGTGAAAGATCCGGCATCTCTGGCATTCCCTGTTCCAGGAATCCCTGGGAGTGGTGCTTCACTGGTGAATTGGCTGCTCTGGAAGGGCAGAGCAGGCGGAGGAGCCTCGTTCAGAGTTACTTGGTGGCTTCAGCCGAGGTTTCCATCACTGGGGAGCTGCTGAGACTCCCAGGACAAGGTTCAAGCGGCCTGGGGGGGATGTGACAGGCACACCAGGATTGTCACTTGGCAGGAAGCCACAAATCCCTGCCACGTGGTGCCACAGAGCTTTAGCCTCTGACAGGATAACTTGGGGAGCACCACATGGGGCCACGGTGTGGAAAAGATGAGCAACCTCTCATCTTCAGCTTCTTCTGGGGGAGCCTGGCCCAGCCTGTCCTTGAACTGTTGAGCTCCTCATGCTTTTCTGGCCATATTTCATCTGTCTCTTCCTCAAAGCACTCTCTGTTCTCGAGGCTGATGTTCTGGCAGGTTCAGGGTTGCATCCATGGGGTGCAAAGCTGCTCACCCCACATTGCTCCTCTTGCAGCGGGGTCAGGCTCCATGCAGGGCCCCCAGACACCTCAGTCCACCAGCAGCTCCATGGCAGAAGGAGGAGACCTGAAGCCACCAACTCCAGCATCGACGCCACACAGTCAGATGCCCCCTTTGCCAGGCATCAGGTATGGATGGAACCCCTGCTGGGGTGGGGTCAGCTCTGGGTCATTGCTGTAGATGTTGGGGCCTTGGGGACCTGTTTTGGTGGGACTTCATCGCTTTTCTCCTCCCTTCATGGCTGACAGCATCACTGTGTGTGAATATTCTTTGATGTTGGGGCTGGGTCTGAGGACAGAGTTGTGGGAGGGCAGTTTCTCTTGACTGTGGCCCTTGGAGGGGATGGCAGCACCCGAGAGGGAGCATGTGAGTACCCTGAGGACCTCTGTAATGTGGTCTTTGTGGGGTTTTTTTGGAACAGGAGTAACTCCGTGGGCCTTCAGGACGCCTTTGCGGACAGCAGTGATCCCACGTTCCAGAAACGGAACTCCATGACTCCAAATCCAGGGTACCAGCCCAGCATGAATACCTCTGACATGATGGGTCGCATGTCTTACGAGCCAAATAAAGATCCTTACAGCAGTATGAGGAAAGGTGAGGGATCATCCTCTCCTGGAGCCCTCAGCCCTGCCTGGCTGTGCTGGAACGTGCTGCAGCCCACCCCCGAGCCTCAGAGGCCTCTTCCTAAGGCAGAGGCGGCTGTGTTGAGTGGTTCTTTCTCTGTTGCAGCTCCAGGAAGCGATCCCTTCATGTCCTCAGGGCAGGGCCCCAACAGTGGCATGGGTGACCCTTACAACCGCACCGCCGGCCCCGGCATGGGCAACATGGCCATGGGCCAGCGGCAGCACTACTCCTACGGAGCGCCCTACGACCGAGTCAGGTGGGTGCTGCCCTGGGCTGGCCACGCTGTGCTGGTCACTCTGTGCTGGTCACCCTGTGCTGGTCACCCTGTGCTGGTCACCCTGTGCTGGCCATGCTGTGCTGATCACCCTGTGCTGGTCACCCTGTGCTGGTCACCCTGTGCTGTTCCCCGTGTGCTGTTCCCCGTGTGCTGTTCCCCGTGTGCTGTTCCCCCTGTGCTGTTCCCCCTGTGCTGTTCCCCCTGTGCTGTTCCCCCCGTGCTGGTCAGGGATCCTGAGGGGTTTTTCTGTCTCCACGCAGGACGGAGCCCGGGATGGGAGCCGAGGGCAGCCTGGGCAGCGGGACCCCCCAGCCCAGCATCCTGCCCTCCACGCCCGAGTCGGGCATGTACTCGCCCAGCCGCTACCCCCAGCAGCAGCAGCAGCAGCAAAGGTCTGTGCCAGGGGCTTCTGGCCCCAGCCAGGGCTCTGAGCCCGTCACAGTCACACTGACACATCTCTTTCTTCTCCAGACATGATTCCTATGGCAATCAATTCTCCACTCAAGGCACATCCTCGGGCAGCCCCTTCCCCAGCCAGCAAACCACCATGTATCAGCAGCAGCAGCAGGTGGGTGATCCCAGAGATCCTGACTGGCTCAGCTGAGAGTTTTATCTGTGCTGTTTGTCAGGAGGGGGAGATGAAAACTCTCTGGGCTGTGCGTTTGCTTTATGAATGGGAAGAATTAGGTACCTCATCACAGAACCACACACTGGCTTGGGTGAAGGGACCTTGAAGCCCATCCAGTGCTACCCCCTGCCAGGAGCAGGGATGCATTTCCAGGGTGCTCCTAGCCCTGTCCAACCTGATTTTATACAGGAGACCTTTTTTTCCCATTTGAAAACAATTTTAAAAAGTTTTAATTAACGTTCCCAGTGCTGTGTTAACAGAAAGAAGAGTGTTCTGAGAATGTAGGTTGTGTGGTTTGCACACTGTCAGGCAGCAGAAGGTCAGGGAGTTTTACTGGGCTGCTCTGTCCCTCTGGAACTTTCTGAATCCCATCCTGTGTCTGTAACACTTCTGGTCCAAGTGATGACTTCAGAGTGAGGCCTGGATGGTTCAGGAGAGCTGTTTCAGGTGGATTGTTCTGCACAAACCAAGGGATTTGTTTGGTCTTTCTCATCCTGCAGCCAGAGGCCTCATACTCCATTGCCCTGCTGCCTCCTCCTCCTTGCTGTTCCCAAACCCATCAGGTTTGTTTCAGGACAGTTTGAATGAACGTGTGTCCCTTTCATAATCCTCACATACGGCTTGCTCTCTGTATCCATGCCAGGACCCATAATGTTTTCCTGATAATTTTAAGTCCTATGGTTTAGGAGAGTATAGAGAGGGCACTCACTGAGCTGTGCTAAGAATAATTCCAACTGCTCTGCAGTTTGGCTCTGCAACCAGAGCCGCGGGGCTCGGAGCCAAGAGTTTGAGTTACTCTGGAACTTGTCATCTTTGAAGCCCTAGAGCTCCATCTGAAGCCAGTTATGACCATGGAGTGTCTGAATAGCCTCCACAGCAGCTACAGCTCAGACCTGGGAGCCAAGATAGATCCTGGATTTTAATTTGGGCTCAGCAATTGGCTGTTTTCTCCATTGGCACTTAAAAGAATTAGGGGTGAGAAGCCTTCTTGCTCCTTTCAGCAACGTGTTTTGAAATGCACAGGAAAGGAGGAAGCAGGAAGTACAAGAGTTTTTAATGCATTTTGTCTGATACTTCATCAGAAACCTGGGAAATGCGAGAGAAATAGGATCTGATAAAATTCCTGGATGTGGAAGGAAGCAAGTGCCAGTGTCTGGTCTGGTTTGTGGTGAATGCAGAGTAGAGCTGAGCCTTTTCTGCAGGGAAGTCCTTTCTGTGGGCAGACTTCTGGCCCCGAGGCATCCTTGTGGAATCCACAGGGAAACTCCCCGGGCAGCCACAAGGAATTGGCCTTGGCTTGTGAAATGGAGCAAGTGATCCAACTTTCACATGGGATACGGCCAGCAAGGAGACACAGCCTCTCCCAGGCTGTGCCGTGGGGCAGATCCTCTGGCTCTGGGGACTCTGCCCAGACATTTGGCTTCTTTGTTTCATGGAATCACCGAGGTTGGAAAAGACCTCTGGGATCAGCGAGTGCAGAGTGTGAGCGATCACCAGCTCCTCGCCCGGAGCAGAGCTCCGCGTGCCAGGCTCGGAGAGCTCCAGGGAGGGCGATTCCAGTGCCTCCCTTCCAGCGGAACCACCCCACATTCCCGCCCCCCTGACCCGCTCCATGCCTTTCTGTTCCCGCAGAACTACAAGCGGCCGATGGACGGCAGCTACGGCCTCCCCGCCAAGCGGCACGAGGGCGAGCTCTACAACGTTCCCTACAGCTCAGGGCAGGGCCAGCCGCAGCAGCAGCTGCCCCCGGCGCAGCCGCAGCAGCCCAGCCAGCAGCCGCCGGCGCAGCCGTCGCCGCAGCAGGACCTGTACAACCAGTACGGCAGCACCTACCCCGCCGAGCGCCGCGCCGGCCAGAGCCAGTTCCCCTTCCAGTTCGGCAGGGAGCGGGTCTCGGCCGGCGCCGGAGCCCAGCAGAACATCCCCCCGC